ACCCCCCACCCCCGCCACGCACCCAACCCTACCCCATCCGGCCTGACCCATGAGGAGGATATCTGCTCGGTCTGGGCCACAGGGACCTCTTCCCCCACCAACAGTCCCAGGAGGCTAGACAGTGCCCTGCGGACCAGGTAGTGGGGCTCCTGCCCCGGGCCCCACGTAGCCCCTTCCCTCCCTGACCAGGCCCACCTGCTTCCCAGAACTCACTTTCCTTCCCTTCCTGCTCACCTGCCCCGCCACCTCCCTGCCCCCACCCACCCAGCAGGGCTATCCCTGCTCTTCCCTCCACATTCTGCTAGAACCTTCCTGCAGGAAGCCCCCATGACTCCCCCCGAGCCCCAACCTTCCACTCTCCTGCTCTAGGTGTCTGCTCACTGGTATTTAGCATCTGCCCTGATGATATTCCGTGTGTGGGATGTGCAGCCAGAGCTGTGCCTCCCTGTTTCTGTAACACCCCCTAACCAATAGCACCCCTAACCAATGACATCTCCAAAGACCCTTTCCCCGAATAAGGCCACACTCACAGGCTCTGGAGACTAAGATTTGGACATAGCTTTTGGGAAACACAAATCCGCCCACTGCAGACACAGGGCAGGGCGAACACAGGCAGATGCCTTGCGAAGGGCGTGGAGACACGCCGGGCAGGGAGAGCCTTACCTTGCTGGTGATGTCGTACACCAACAGCGCTGCGTTGGCGCCCCTGAAGTAGAGGTGGCAGACACTGTGGTACTTTTCCTGGCCAGCCGTGTCCCAGATCTCAAATTTCAGAGACGTAGCACCCAACTCCACCACCTTCGTGAAGAACGCACCTGGAACACGGAGACCCAGGGCAGCTTTATCTGGAGGACCCGGCCTCCACCCACCGTTCAGGCCAGGCCAGCTCGAGGCCTGGGCTCAGCGAACCATCGGGGACACGTGCTTCCTGCCGCCCACAGCCGGGAAGGCTGAGCAAACACCTCTTCTGGAAGGTGGCAGTTTCCATAAAGAGCCAAGTGTCGCAAATAACTGCTGCAGACACTTCATAGACGCACGGAGGCTTTGGGTGGGCAGATAGGCTCCAGGGCCCTAACTCACAAATCTGAGCTTTGCTTGCCAAGGTGATGTGACTTTCACATAGTTGTTGGTAGCACCAACCAGGGTGTGTGGGGTGTGTCATACACAGAACAAGACAGGGGTGAGGAGGGGACAGGAGAGGGGCTGGGGGAGGAGCTGGCAGAAGGGGATGGGGGCTCCAGTCAAAGCTGCTGCCCTGTGCCCACCCAGACCCTGTGTGGAGTTTGAAGCCTGTTGGGAGATCCTTGAAATTAAAACTTTCGCTGCAAGGCAGAGAGTTAGCTTCTAGGGCTGCTGTAACCAATTACCACAAACTGGGCAGCTTAAAACAGAAATAGATTGTTTCCATTCTGGAGACCAGAGGTCAGAAATCAAGGTGTCATGGGGTAGGTTCCCCCCGAAGCTCTGAGAGAGAATCCTTTCCATGCCGTCTCCTGGCTTTGGTGGCTGCCGGCCCCGTCCGCGTTCCTGTGCTTGTAGACACATCACCCCCGTGTCTTCCTCCGGGCTCACATGGCCTTCTCCCCGTGTCTCCGAGTTCCAACGAGGTCCCACTCGGTGGACTCAGGGTCCACCTGCAACCCAGCATGATCTCATCTCAACACCCCTAACCAATGACATCCGCAAAGACCCTTTTCCAAATAAGGCCACACTCACAGGCTCTGGAGGCTAAGATTTGGACTTGGCTTTTGGGAAACACAATTCCGCCCACTGCAGACCGAGGGCTGGGTTAGGATTTTAGCACAGAGCTGGTCACATCATGATTCTCTCATGAGACTCCCGTTTGGGGAGACCGCCAACCAGGTCCTCTGCCGGCACGTCCCATATTTTCCTGCTTGTCCAGGAGCTTGAATCAGATAAACTCCCTATGTGTATGGACCGAATGTTTGTCCTGGCAAAATTCACAGGTTGAAGCCTAATCCCCAGTGTGAGGGTATGAAGAAGTGGGGCCTTTGTGAGGTGATTAGAGTTAGATGAGGTCCTGAGGGTGAGGCCCCTGTGATGGGATTAGTGCCCTTATGGGGAGAGACTCAGAGAGCCCCCTCTCTCTCCTCTCCCTCCCCTCGTGCAGACAAAAAGAAGAGGCTACGGTGAGTGCAGTTAGCTGGCCGCCACCTACACACCAGCGGAAGAGGCCTCAGGAAGAAACCTACCTTGCAGGCACCTTGATCGCGACTTCCAGCCCCAAAACGGCGGTGCTTGCAGGCGGCCAGAGCAGACTGACTGGGTCAAACAAAGCCGCAGTCTCTGTCTCAACGTGGGGACTGATGGCTCCCCGCTCACGCGGGCTCATGGTCAGGAGGGAAATGGACACAACGCAGCAGGTGCTCCGTGGGACTGATGTCCTGAGGGTGCAGGCCGCGAACGGGCCTTGGAGGGGCTCTGTCAGCTGCACGGACTTGGTCCCCTCGCTTCAACCTTCTACAGCTCAGCCCCCTCTTCACCATGGGACAAGGGCGCCCTCTGCCCAGGTGGCTGTCGGCTGCCACACGAAGCCCCTGCCTGCCCTCTGCTCTCCCGAACGAGTCGGGAATGTCAGCCGTTAATCCACATCCTTCGTTCGTTTTCCACCACGTCGAGTCCCATTTCTGAATCTGATGTTGGTTGTACCTTAAAAGTCGTCACTGCAGGTTGCGCGTGGGCACCTCCTCCATTCAATAGCCAAGCTCCTGACATCTCCCTTTTTCATCTGAAAATGATGACAGCGGCTCCGCTTCAATCAATAGAAAGTCCCGACGAATTTTCAAGGGGTTCGGGGTTTTCAGTGCAAGTGGCGATGAGGCAGGAGTGACTGAGTAGTTACAGAAACAGAAGCCTGTCTTCCCCGGAGAGAAACACAGGCCCTCAAGTGGGCCCTGGGCAGGACTGAGGCGACCTTTAACCCCACCCCGTAGACTCCTTGTCTCCAACTCGGAAAAGAGCGCTCGTTTATTATCTTCATTTTCAGAACCCACTGATACTCGCTATATGAGTGAATGAATGAATGAGTGAGTGAGTGAGTGAATGAGTGAACTCAGAGAAACAGGTGGCTTGTCCATGGCAGAGTCCAAATTTGAAACCAAAGCTCTGATTCTGAGTGAGGTGGCTTTCCACCCCGCCTGCGGCCTCCCGGGAGGACTGGCGTAAAGAACACGCTGGGGTTTCCTTATTTTGGGTGGGGATCGGGGTTTTCACTGCAGGCGGGATGTGAAGGAGGCCAACTGCCCAGCAGACCTCATAGACCTTGACCTCTGGGAGCCCTATCCTGGAGTCTCTTTCAGAAGAGCAGTGAGAGGGTCGGCCCTACTGCCCCCGCCCCCCACCCCCTCACCCCCTGAATCCAGGCCCGGCTGGTAAATAGTCCAGGCAGAAAGGGGACTGACTGCTCACAGGTAACCTGCTCAGGGCAGTGCTTAGCAGAGGGAGACTGGGCAGGGTGAGAGGCCCCTTGGCCAGGTGGCTGAGCGGCAGAGCCTGGAGGGCTTCTTCCTGGCTCCTCCCAACCCCCCACTTGGACACAATCCCACACCCAGCCCCTGGGGCCAGAGGCCCTGACCCTAAAGCTCCACCCCTGCAGACTCCGGTGAGCTCTGGAGGCTGCTGTGCCTCCCCACCGGGACCTCATCCCCCCCTGCCCGGGCCCACGATGCCCGAGGCTCCAGACAATGTCTGCCCCGCGTGCCTCTCCCTGGGTCACGCCCTGGCTTCTCCCCTTGGAGACTAAGAAAGGGTGTCGGTCCGTCACTTACACCCCACGGTTGGCAGGATGCTCTTGAAGTCGTTCTTCACGTATCGGAGAGCCAGGCTGGACTTGCCCACAGAGCCGCTTCCCAGGAGGACCAGCTTGAACACGTAGGGCTGCCCCGCCCCGGGCTGGGGGCGCCCGTCTGCCTGCGCCATGGCCTGTGGAGACACACAACGTCTGCCACCAAATAACCTCAGCACCTTCACCCGCAGCACTGCCTCCCAGCGGAGGGCAGACAGGCTGGGATGGATAAACAGACAGAGGGACTGATGGAGCTCCAGGTCACTGCTCCGCTCTGCACCCCAACTCCTCATCTGGAAAGTGGGGGACCGAGCTCAGTGGTTAGAGCATTAGCCAGCTGTGAGGAATGTGAGCAGCTGTGTGTGGGAAGCCCATCGGCGGTGCCCAGCAGAGACCATTGTACAATAAAGGGCTGCAGGCCCTGAGCAGTGGTGGGCCAGTTATCATATGGGCTGACTGTCCTCATTCTACTAATCCTCCCTTTTAAAAATCTGCTACTTTTTCCAAAGAGTGTCTGAAACATCTGGGAGGTAAAGTACTCTCTCTGTTCAGGGTGAACGGATTTAAAAAAAAAAAAATCTAGCCCTAACAGGTTTGGCTCAGTGGGTAGAGCGTCGGCCTGTGGACTGAAGGGTCCCAGGTTCAATTCCAGTCAAGGGCATGTACCTTGGTTGTGGGCACATCCCCAGTAGGGAGTGTGCAGGAGGCAGCTGGTCGATGTTTCTCTCTCATTGATGTTTCTAACTCTCTATCCCTCTCCCTTCCTCTCTGTGAAAAATCAATAAAATATATATTTTTTTAAAAATCTAGCCCTTGCTGGCTTTGTTCGGTGATTAGAGCGTTGACCAGCTCACCAAAGAGTTGCAGATTCAATCCAGCCCTGATCAGGGAGTATGCAGAAGGCAATCTCTCTCTCCCTCTCTCTCTCTCTCTCTCTCTCTCTCTCTCTCTCTCTCTCTCTCTCCCCTACCCCCACTCCCACCCCCATCTATCATTCCACTCTCTTTTTAAAACAATCAATGGAAATATATACTCGGGTGAGGATTTTAAAAAAAAACGACCTAAAAGGGTTGGTGTTTCAAAAATATCTGTCTAAAAAATGCTGGTGTTTCAAGGATCTCAAAACACGTTACCTTCCTGTGGCTCGGGAGACCCCGAACCCACCCTGAGGTGCCCTGCAGGAAAACAGCTCTGTGGTCAGAATAAGTTTGGGCAAACCCTGCATATGTGTTCACTGTGGAAACTTCCAGACACAGAGCACATGGAGGGAAAGGAGACCATTCCATGGACCTCATGCAGGGTCACCCCCATCCACCACGGCCAGCCGAGCGCATCTCACCCACGTCCCAGATCCCCCAGCACAGAGATTAGTCTGAAGCAAGTCCCCGACATGCTATTCTTCCATCTGCAGCTCTCAGTCTACATGCACGCATCCTTGTTTCCTTTACAATGTGTCTGTGGAGAAGCCAGAGCATCCCGTGGCTTCCTAGTCTGACTTGCTGATTGAATCCCTAGGTCGCCATTGACTGTGTTCCTGCGAACCCTGTCTTTTCCATGGTGTGGTGGTTCAATACAGGAACGTGGTCAGATAACAGGCTATTTTTTGGCGAGAATGCTTCGTGAGTGTGGTGGGCATTTCCCAGGAGGCAAATAGTGCGCAGGAGCCTCCTTGTGATGCTGTGACCACTGACGAGCATTATCAGAGCCTATTTTTAGGGGGCTGCAAAACGATGGCATTTTTAAAAAGTTTTAATCCTCACCTGAGGCTGTGTTTTTATTGATTGTAGGGAGAGAGGAAGGGAGCCAGAGAGAGAAACATCGCTGCAAGAGAGAAGCATCCATCAGTTGTCTCCTGTACTCATTCCAAGCAGGGATCGAACCCGCAACCTCTTTGGTGTACGGGTCAACGCTCAACCAACTGAGCCACCTGGCCAGGGCAATAGTGGCATTTTAACACCATTTGTCTTTGTTTATTACATGGATTGCTTCCAGAAAGAAGAACTTCCCTAAAAAATATCCAAACCCTCCATAGGCAGTCACCTGGGTGGAAAAGAGGGAGGCCCCCACCCAGGGTCGGGTGGGAAGAAGGAAGGGGAGGAAGTCTGGAGAGGAAAGCCGAGGTGGGGCGGGGGTGGAGCAGTGAGAAGAGGACCAAGCTCCCCGGCGGTCCCAACAAGCAGCCACGGCCACAGACTGCCCTGGTCGCCCGCCAGGACAGACGAGAAGAGAGTTTGGGATGGAAATCTCAAAACAAACAGGACTGAGTCCTCGATTCCAACAAAGCTGTCCTAAATAGAATGTGCAGGGGCACGGGCTCTCCCACGCCTGGGGAAGCGGGGTCAAGTGGCAGGTCTGGAACCCCCCTCAAAGGGACACTCTGGGGCTTCACCATCCAGTGTGATGCCTCATGGTACCAACGTACGACGTTTCAGAGAGGGGTTAGGGAGATAAAAGTGCTTACATAAAAGTTTTCCATCCATGTTTTTCTAAAGCTCCCCATTATCTGCTGTGGAGACTAAAAAATAGATTACTACTTTTTCTCCCACCTTCTAAGTTCTTCTGGCTCGGCTACTCATCCAATTAACAGAGACAGATTAACAGGAGAAAATCAAAGTTGTTAACACACGTGCACAGGGAATTCACATAGACATGAAAACCCCAGACAGTGAGGGAACATCAGGGATATGAGACATTTTTGGACAAAGGAGTGAGAATGGGCGATTTACAGGTAGTTGAGGAAGAGTAGAACACACACACACACACACACACACACACACACACACACACAGGCACACGGCAGGAAAGCCCCAGGGACACTGGTTTCCAGCAAGCAGGCCTGGAGTCTTCCCGACTAGAGTGAGAGCAAAGGTTCTTAAGGTCGTGAAGCCAAGCCTCCCTTCCTGAAGCAGGTTTGTCTAAACCTCTTCAGGGTCAAAAGTTCTTTCTGAGTCTTTTCTTTCTTAATAAACAGCTTGAAATCCATATCCCAAAAGGTAGCTTCAAGATGGCAAAACTCTGCTTCCCTTCACTGATGAGGCTGAGGACCACCACTATGATTTTGTCCATTTTCTTCACAGAAGTAACAGTGCCTCTAATAACTAATGGAGGGAGGCCAGCCGGCCTGGCTCAGTGGTTGAGCGTCAACCTATGAACCAGGAGGTCATGGTTCGATTCCCATGCCTGGGTTGTGGGCTCGATCCCCAGTGGCGGGCATGCAGGAGGCAGCCGATCAATGATTCCTTCTCATCATTGATGTTCCTATCTCTCTCCCTCTCCCTTCCTCTCTGAAATCAATAAAAATATATTTTATAAATAAATAACAGAGGGAAGGGAGCGAGGAAGAAAGGAAGGGAGGGAAGGAAACACAGGGTACTGTGGAAAACAGGAAAAGGCAAATAACCCATCAAAGCACCAATGTTTTGAAACATTTGCCTGAACTGAGAAATTTCTTGGAGCCTGAGGCAGAAGAGGAGTGACTTGGGAGGGAGCAGGGTCTCCGCTGAGAATTAGCAGGGGGCGGGCTCTAGGAGCAATCTGGTCTAGACCTGCCCTGGCCTGCCTGGTCCTGCTGGGGTGTCGGGGCGCTGGGCACCCAGGGTTCCTGCATCCCACAGACCCACCGGCACTCGGTGAGGGTGCTGGAGGAGCATTCTGCTCTCGGAGAGCCCACCCACCGGTGCAGAACTCCAAACAATTCATTCACAGATTCTGACCCCTGGTAGGTAGAAAATGAAACCCAAAGGCAACGTACACAACCTGAAAGTGGGAAAGCACCTGAAAAGCCAGCTGGCTTCCGGGAATGAAATTTACAGCCCTGGGGATTCAGCAAGTCCAGACTCCCACGAAGCCCGGAGAGAGATAACAAGAGGTCAGAGTTCAACATCACCAGAGAGTTTCCAACTACTCTCCGTCAAATACACCGGGGACGGCCTCCGGGGAAGGGCTGCTGATCTGTTTGCTTCTCTCTGTTGGGGGTGATACAAATCTCCCTCGGCTTTCGGCCTCCTCTCTGGTCCTGCAGCTGCCAGCCTGGCCCCGATCATGTGTCCAGTCCCCATAAATAGCATTTAATAAAACAGACTTCATGGGGCCCAGGTCCTGCTCCTCTTCTCCAGTGAAATTATCTCAGTTTTAACTCTACCTTAATTTGTAGAACTAATTTTTTAATGACTTATTGCTCTTGCTGGGCTGTAACCTCTAATGAGATTTAATTTATATAATTATTTTGTTAATATCTGCTCCCTCCCACTGGGCTGCAGCCACTCAAGAGTGCACGGACTATATTCCTGGGGCACACAGTAGGTGTTCCATAAATATCTCAGAAACCCACACGGACTCACTTAGCAAGAAGCCCTCATTGGACAGACGTGCTGTTTCCAGAGCATGGTTTGCACAGCCAGTCACACCAGGCAGCCCGGCACGTGGTAAACTGGTACAAGCAAACGCGGGGAGCAGAAGGACCTCCAGCCGCTCAGCTCCCAGTGGCCAAGAAAAGTAGCAAGTGACTCACTCGAAGGCCACCCCGTGAGGGTGCGAGGGTGAGGAGCTGAGCTTATTGAGCCGGGCTGCCCTGAGCCTCCTATGGGAGCTGAGCAGGAGGACTCTGGGGGCCCCTGCATTACCCCGCCTTACTGGGAGCCAGCAGCTCCTCTAAGACAAACAGGCAGAATTAGGAGCCCAACGGCAGCCTTCACACCCACACGAGATGCACCGGGCCCTGGCGTGACTTCAGCGAGTCAGGAAAGTGCAGGACTCACTCCTGCATCCAGTCAGCGGTACAATCCTCCTGCCGGGAACCGCCTGCTGGCCTGGACTCATCGGCCAAAGACCGGCAACCTCAGTAGCAAGTCCTAACTTACAAACTGCTCTTCCCCTGAACTCAGAGAAGCAGATAGTGGTCAAACGGTACAAACATCTGGTTATAAGATGAGTAAATTCTGGGGGTCTAATGCACAGCATGGAGTTTACAGCTAACAATACTGCATTTTATACCTCGAAGTTGCTGAGAGAGTAGATCTTCAATTCTCACCACAAAAGAATAGTACTTAAGTGACGGGCTGGAGGTGTTACCTGACGCGATGGTGGTCATCGTGTTGCAATAGATGAATGCAACATGTTACGCCTCTTAACTTACACTGTCTCATACATCAGTTACACTGGATAGAGCCGGGAAGGGGGGATCCTCGAGCTTTCTGTGCCTCCTGGGCTCGTACGTTGTTTCTGGCTGGAAGTACTTAAGGCACCTGCTTAGGAGCGGATGGTCCATTGACTGGTGCTGTAATTTTACACAGAAAGTCCTGACACACCTGCAGCGATGCATTCTCACGCATCGATAGCCCTCAAGTTCTCCTTGCTATCTTTGTGTACCAGTTAGTAACATTCTTCTTGAGTCAAGAAAATCTTTAGCCCAAAACATGTTTTAATTAACCAAAGTAGGTGAACTATGAATGCCTAGACCATTTCTGAAATTCCAGGTGCCTGTGTCTTACTCCTTTGGCAATGATACATCTTTGTTGAAAAATATTATTTTACTATCAGTATAAATACATCATGCTCAATATGAAAAAATTAAATTACTCATAATCCCATGCCCTTCATACAACCAGGAATAGCATTTTGCTTACTTTCTTCTAGTTTTTTTTTAATGAATCATAAAAACAAACCAACCAAAACCCATAGTTTTAACATATACTTTTGTATCCTACCTTTCAAACAACGACATCTATCAAAGGCAGTTTTGCACATTGCTACATGTTATGTATGTTCAATGACCATGTAACATTCCTACAACTATTCTAATTTAATGAGCCATTTTCCTACCACTGGAGCATCACTAGGTTTTAATTCTTTTCTGTAATGAATCAGCCTCAGTGAGCATTTTTATGTATAATTTTTGTGTGATTACAGTTGTAAGCTTTCGCTAATCAGAGGTTGAAGCCCTCTGTTCAGAGCGAAAATTGAAAACTCCAGGCCTGACCCCACCTCCAGATCTTAATCAAGGTGGGTCTTTGAAGTCTCTGTAAGGGAGAAGCTCCAGGAATGCAGACTGGGGAGCAGGGCTAATAGACACCCTCTCTAGCATCTCCGTTTGGGGCCTTTCATTCCTTACAAGCCCCCCTCCTGTCCACCACAGCAAAAGGAAGGGCTGCAAGCCTACCTAGTCGGGGAGGACATTCCAGGGCGGGGCTGGCTCACTGAGTCTCCCGTCAGGCGTCCCTCGAGTGACCCTCCCAGCACGGAAAGAACTGAGATTGCTGTGAGGTTCCCGTACTGACTGCGCACCTGGATCCTCCTCGCTGGGAGCACTTTACCCTCAAGGCCTGTCACTGCAATTTAAGCAGGAATCTCCTGCCGGGACCCCGACCTCCCTGACCCAGGTCCTACACGGCACCATGGCCCTCAGTCCCACAGACTCCTTCCCCTCACTGTGCCCTTGTGATCATTCATGTGTGGGTACACAGACAGACACACACAGACACACAGACAGACACACACAGACACAATTATCCACATACAGACACACACACACACATAGAGACAGACACAAACACACATACGCAGACACACACAGACACACACACAGACACAATTATCCACATACAGAGACACACACACACATAGAGACAGACACAAACACACATACACACACACGCAGACACTGCCAAGTATATAGAAGTTTAAACAATGACTCACGTGTTCCCAGGCCTGGTCACTTCCCGGGAGCCTGACAGGCCATCATCACCGGGCCTGCGGGGCCCCTACCTGCCTCCCTCTGCCCTGGGGAAAGGTCGGCTTCCCTCACCAGGCAGCCGGCTGAGCGGTGGCCAGGGCAGCTGGGTGGGTGGAGGCTGGGCTCCAGCAGAGATGGGGGAGAAGCAGCCCAGCCCCCGCCCCCCGGCTCCTAAGACAGGCCACTTCCTTCTGCCAGGCTCCCAGGGCAAGGTCCTCTGGTCACGTGGCCACCTAGGCGGAGGCTGGACCTTAGAGCAGACCCAGCAGCAGCACCTGGGCGCCCAGCCGGAAGTGAGCCTCCTGTCAGGGGTTTGTGTCACCCAATGCCCCCAGTTCCTGAGCCTCCTGGGGGCCTCATTTCAGCTCCTTCCTCGGGCTGCCGGCAGCTTTGCCCACTCGGCAAAGGAGAGAAGGCAGGGAACTCGGTCCTTCCGCAGACAGCGGGAGCCAGCTCCTGGGGACCTGCACCTGGAATCAGACGCCAGCCAGGCGGGCTGGGCCGGGTCAGATGACAGCTCCTGGCCGGGTGCCACCTGGGGACAGGGTGCTGTGGGCCTCTAATGCCATCTGCCAGCTTTGTCACCCTCCAACCTGACTGTGTTCCTCTGTGGAACCAGGATCTTGGGAGCCATTGCAGAAGCCCGCCTACCCCAGTGCCCGAGCCAAAGCGCCCAGGGAAGGCGCACCACGCCCAGGTGACACACAGGGAACCAACACCTGGGGCCTCGGGCTCAGGCTCAGGCTGAACCCAAACAACCTACGGGCCCCTCCCCTCCTCGAGAGGCCCAGGGGCACCACGGACACTGAGCTCAGATACCCAGGAGGCTGGGCTCCTCGCTGCTGTGGTCTCAGGGGTGCCCAACCTGCAACCTGGGCAGCCGTTGCCTGAAACCTGCAGGGCCCTCCCACAGGCACTCAGCACGTCGCTGCCCCTCTGTTCCCTCACCTTCCAGGCGAGGGCGCTGGGCCAGAGGCTCCCTGTGGCCACCGCCATCGGATCTCAGCACCAGAGCCACCAGGAGGGAGAACCTGAGACCTCACCTTTCAGTCTGAAGACCCTTCCCTTGCAGACATGCCAACGGGGAGGGGAGACAGAACACAGGCGGCCTGACCATCACCCCACCTGGACGCGGCACTGTGCACACCAGAGCTTGTCGTGGGAAGTAAGCAAAAATGACGCGTAAGCGAAGTACTTGCATGGCACAGTTAGCTCTTGGTACTTGGCTATACGAACCTTAGACTTTCTCTGTGGCACTTTGTCAGCTTTCCTGCCTCCGCATGAACAGGGGGAGTTCCCACTGCGCCACCTACCCAGGCTGCTGCACAGGCAGCGTGCTCTCAGCTTATCCCCCTTTCGAAAGAAATGCAAAATTACGGAATTTTGGAGCCAGGAGGGCCCCTGGAGATTGTCTAATCTGAGCACCCTCCCGGTATCTACAGAATCTTGGCAACACCCACAGACTCTTCAGTCTCTGCCCAAAGGTGACAGGGACGGGATCGCCTGCCCCGAGGCAGCCATGCAACTGGCTCCTTTCCGGCCATCCCACACCGGTCTTGTATAACTTTCCACCCAGGTCCCGCCCGGGCCACTCAGCCAGAGCCTGCTCCACTGTTGCATAAACATTTCTGAGCCTCTCAGAGCAGCTCTCAGGGCTGTGGCCCCCGCTGCGCTCAGACCCATGGCCCCCTTGCTCCTGTGAAGAGACCCGGGGTGGCTCAGATTGTTAACTAACGCATCTCCTCTCCAGTGGGCGTGCTCGGTGGCCCCGCTCTGTGGATATGTGGGAAGAGGGGCTCCCTTCCTCCTTGGGGCTTCCATGCAGAGCTCTGGTTAAGGATGGAACTCGCAGTGTGATTGCTATCTGAGGTGCAGATCTTCCAGAATGCTCTTATCTGCTGAGACCTTGCAGATAAGCAGGGATGGTGGCCTGCCTTGCCCCAAACCTTCATCCTCGCTTATCTCAATGGAAAATTCCAGCAGGGATTTCTGAACTCCAAGTGAAATTCCTCCGCTCAACAATGGGTGTGGTGCTTGGCTGCTGGCCAGGCTGGGCAGAGCAGGGCAGAGCAAAGTCCATGGCCAGCGGTGACAGGACAGGTGCCCGCACAGAGGCCACCCCGGGTCACACACGGCCCTAAAGGAGCAGAGGGCACAGGCAGGAGAGACCCGCTCACCTCCCCAGGTGGAAGGGGAAGAAGGGTCAAGGGTTACTCCTCCCAGGAGGAGATGCTGACACACGGATGGACAGATGAATGGATGAAGGAGAAACTGGCCCAGAGGCCAAGAGGAGGAAAGGCTTTCTGAGCCCCAGAAGCAGTGTGAGTGGTGTGAGGCCTGGCGCGCGGCGCTGTGGGACGCAGGGGACGCTGTCACCGAGCGCGGAGACAGGGGTGGGTGGCCAGAGGGATGAGGATGGAGAGGCCTTGTCCAATTCCACGAACACTAGAATCAACGAAAACAGAGTACCTACCTTTCGTTGAGTGCCTACTCTGTGCCTGGCACGGTGTAAGTCCTTGCCTTAGAGCATCCTTCTGACAGCCACGCCACCCTGCGGGCCACACCTGAGGGCCCTCTGCTGGCCTCTTCCAGCCCTGCCCCTCCTTGTGGGCGAGGCGTTTCTATCCTGAGACGGTAGAATTCCCTGCCCAAGGAGCCAAATCCCACTTCCAGGGCCTGCACGCCTCTGCACTGGGTGCACCCCCCCAACCAGGCCACCAGCATGTGTGCCCAGGGCCCAGGGACCAAGAGACAGCCAACAGTGGGCAGCATGTGCAGAGATACAGGAAGACTTGATAAATGAAGACACTTCACATGTTCCCAGACCAGAGACTGAACACCCTGACGCTGACACTTCCGCTGACTCCGTTTAATGCAGCGTGAGTTAGCATCTCGTTAGCATGCTTGATTAAACACCTGCACCACAGGCTGTGGCAGCCCGGCTACTCCTCATTTCTTGTCTCGGTGGGATAATACGTGCATCCCTGCTTAACGCGCATCCCTGGTGAACAGCACACAGAGCCGAGTATCAGCTCTTTCGTCCTGACTTCTGGTCGAGGTGCCTGGCCCATGTGCCTTTAATGTGGTCACTGGTATGGTTCTGCTCAAGTCCACCATCTTCTGTGCACTTTCTATCTGTTCCCACTGTCTTCATTCCTTTCTTTTCCTTTCCTTCTCCTTTTGATCTAATGGGGTATTTTTAGTATTTCATTCTATCTCCTTTCCTGGTTTCTTAAGTCTATTATAGCATATCTTTTCATTTGATTCTTTTTTAGAATTTCTAAATCTCTCCTGAAATTCACCACTTTCTTTGCCTGTTGTATGCACCTTTCCCAATAGAAGCGTCACCATTTCTGTCATCGTATTTCACACTCCTCATCCACTAATTCTAACAGCTGGTTAGTGTGTGGGTCTGATTCCATAGATGGTTTGTTTTGTTGTTTGTTTGTTGACCACCGGTCATGCTTTCCTGTTTCTTCATCTACCTGGGGACTGTCACTGTGTGCTGAACGTGGTGAATGGCGTTTTGGCAAAGGCTGGAGATACCCTCCCTTTGGCGAGAGTGGACACCCTGCAGAGACCCCTGCTGGGCGTGTGGACAGCACCGTTTCTGGAGACACACGGGAATGCGTGTCCATGGGCTCAAGGACAGTGCGGCCTCAACCCAGCTGTGGTCCCACACTCAGCAGCACCTGGGACCCGGAGAGAATGGCTCGGTTCTTTAGTTCATCGAAGCTTTTAGCTGCACTCAATGCTGACAATAAAATTACCCACATGCCCAGCAGGCCGGCACGCAGGAACCCTTGTGAGAAATCGGAGCTGAGAGTGGGGGGTGGGATTGAGCTCCGTCTCGATCAACATCTGAGGCCTGACTTTGTTGTATCTAAGATCACCTGGGCTCCAGGCTATCGGATTCCCTTTTCTTTTCCTTTTACGTGGTTCCTCAATTTTCACCGGGTTTCCTGACTGTCCTCCCCAGGAAAGAGACTCTGGAACAGACCCACCCAGCACCCACCCAGAAGGCCCACCTTCCATTCCTGGGCAGCCTTGGGTAGCATGACCTGCAGCAGAGGCCACAGGCTGCTGGGCCCATGTTCTCCCCGAGGGCGAGTGTGCGGGGGATGAGAGGGGGACCAAGATGCTCACAGCCACATTCAGAGGGGAGCCAGGCGGGGCTAAAGAATGATGCAGACCGAGGGAAAGCCCCATCCTATGAGAAGTGGAACCACTATGCATATCAAGGTGCTGGGGCCGCTGTTACCAAGGACCACAATCTGGGCTCTCAAACCGTGGGAGATTATCTCACAGCTCAAGATCCAGGTGTGGGCAGGGTTGGCTCTTTGTGAGGCCCTGAGGGAGAATCTGTCCCGGCCTCTCCCAGCTGCCGGTGAATGAGGGAATGGATGGACACTCTTCCTCTAGGGACTGACATAATTTGAGCAGACTGCATTTTGATGGTTGCCCCCACAATCCATTCATCAACCATCCAGAAAAGCAAAAGCAAGTTCTTGCCCAAGACTGGGAAGCAGAAAGTTAATGATGATCCCTACACATGTGTGCCCACACAGCACACACAAACACAAACACACAAACACAACAATCATACCTGGGATGTGCAGCCGGGTCTCGTCTCTTCTTTGTTCTCCTCTCCGTCGGGCACCAGCACGTCTTTGTCCCCTTATCTGGGCTTGCTCCGCGTGGCCGTCCCTCCTTCTGGGACCAGCCCTGGCCCGTCCCTCAGCCCTGTCCCTTCCGTCCCACGCCCACTCTCCTCCCCAAGGCCAGAGGCCCTCCTCCTTCTTTGGAGGTGTATCTCCCGTCTGTCCCTGAGAGGCAGCCGGAGGTTTTGGTCAACAGCTAAGGTGCTGAGCAAGGATCCAGAGCCCCCTCTCAGCGTGACAGGATGGAGGCCTTGGAGAGGACACAGAGAGGGCTTAAGGGAGAAAATATAATTTTCCCCTGCCCTTCTGAGTTCTGGGCTGAGGCCCTGTAATAAAAGGCAGAGGAATAAGAGAAAACAAACCAAAATTTATTCATATGTATACCTCATGGGAGATGCCGAGGGGACATCGGTCACTCCCCGGGTGGCCTAAGCCACGCGCTTAAATTCCATCTTCAGCTAAAGACAAAAGACAGAAAGAGCTCAGTTATGGGGAGGTCGCAGGAAAGGCACCGGAGCCGGGCAAGGCTGTTTGCAGCTTGTGCGCCTTCTCCGTGGATAAGAGTCCCTGCTGGTGTCGAGCCGTCTCCTCTCCCTGATTCTGGGAGGCAGACACCTTTACACTCGACGATACCCCTCATTCATGCACAGTGCTCTACAAAAGGGCAACTTCTACTGTTTTCTGAGCATCTCTGTTTGCTGTTTCACACAATAATCAGCTCAGACTGGTCCTCACGCCAGAGGCAGATGTTGGCTTCGTCGTTTAATACTTTCACCCTGAAGGCAGGAAAATCCTGGCCCCAGAGGCCAGGTAAAGCAAGGCTGACTGCACAGCTTCCTCTGCTACTGTTTCTTCCCCAGGGAATAAATCATATCTATCCATAAACCAAGCGTGCCTTCCTGATCGTCCCGGAGAGATCCCGGGTGTTTATGTACCTGACTCTTTGCTCCGCTTGCCCCCCCGGAGATCCACTGGAGAGAGGAGCGTGTCTTGCTCGTCCTGTTCTCCTGGCCGCGCGCTGCAGGCAGCAGGCTGCCAGGGGCTGGGGTTTCATGTGGTCGTTTCAACGCTCCTGTTTGTATTGTGACTACATTTTACTGTAAGAAAAATGTTTCGTGGGGAGAAAACCATGTAATCTTTGTTCTGCTTGAGACAAAGCTGAATTTTATAAACTGCTTGTAGCAAATTTTTATAAACTGTTCTCTGTGTGGGGGTGTGGAGCACAGGAAGCAAACCAGTAAGTAGCAAACTATTTTTCTATTATGTTCCTAAAATAGATCAGAGGCTGGCACAGAGCGCTGCATGTTGGCCCAGACCCCTGAGCAAAACCAAGCAAAGCGGAGGCCCCTCCGGGATGCTTTCCATTGTTTGGTTCTATCTTAATGTAGAGAAAGAATTTCCAGATTTTTCTCACGAGAACGTCTTCAGAGCAGTACTCGGCATAACAGAAAACTTGGTGAAATGTTTCCTCTACTTAAAAATTGCCAAGCCAAGGACACAGAATGCTCTTAAAAACCACTGTCAAAGAAGGAAAAAGATCTGCACCGTCTGTGCCAATTTCCGCTTTGCAGGCTGGGCGGAGTAACTGATAAGGGTGGTGCTTGGCTCATCAGTCCAGTGACTCCTCCGGGGGAGGAGCCGAGTGAGCTCACTAGTACCTGTAGGTAGAGCAGCACCGTGAGTTTCTGCTCCCACATCTCACCAGATGCACAATGTTTGCAAACTGCCTGGCTGCATGGGAACCTGCCCGAGACCAAGATCACCTGTGCGGTACCGAACGGAAACAGACAAATCTAAACACAGCCCAGAATTCCCGGGCTCTGGGCTATAGGCACCCAATGACCACAAGCATAGCAACGCTGACAGGGAGAAGGGACCACGGGAAATGGGATTCACTGACAGAGGGGTAAACAAGACGTGAGCTTCGTGACTCCCCTCACAGCTGGCACAGTGAGCCGACCCAGACTGTGGGCCCATCGCCTCCTTATCTTCAGGTCCTCCTGTTCCCTGTGGCCGTTCTGCAGGAAAACAGCATGC